GTTCAACATTGGGCTCTTTTTCAACAGCTGTTTTTGCGGAAACTTTACATCTGGATTTTTTAGAAGCATCTGATTTTGCCCAATTTTAGTAAAATATGTTCCAAATTTTGCTAAAAAAGCAAGGTTAACCCCTTACCTTTTTAGATTTTTCATACAAATCTGATTTTGCCAAATTTTACTAAATATACAAGGTACACCTCTTACAATTTAAAATGTTTCATAAACATTTCTTTTTGCCCAATTTTGCTAGAAATACAAGGTTAAGCCCTAACAATCTGCAATTTTCCAGAATCATCTGATTGTGTCCTATTTAAAGTTTGCTAAAAAAAATGCAGGGTTAACCCTTTACAATTTGAATTTTTTTCATGAACATCTAATTTTTCCCAATCGTATTGAAAAAGCAAGGTTAACCCCTTACAATCTGCAATTTTCCAGAAACATCAGATTTTTTCCCAATTTCGCTAAAAAAAAATGCAAGGTTAACCCCTTATAATTTGAAATTTTTCATAAACATCTAACTTTGCCAAATTTCAATAAAAAAGCAAGGATAATCCCTTACATCTGAAATTTTTCGGAAACATCTGATTTTGCCCAATTTCGATAAAATATGCAATGTTCACCCCTTACAATTTGAAATGTTTCATAAACATCTAACCCCATACAATCTGCAATTTTCCAGAAACATCTGATTTTTCCCGATTTTGCTTTAAAAAAAGTAAGGTTAACCCCTTACAATTTGATTTTTTTCATAAACATCTAATTTTGCCCAAGTTTATATCTGGAATTTTTCAAACAAATTATCAGGTAACTGGATCATTAAACGGGACAGGTGCACATCGGCCTTAGAGCTCAGACCATGTGTCATGCACTCCTCAATGCATAGATGATGCACATAACACTACGGGTAGTACAGGCACAGCTGGGGTATGAACGCATTGCGTATGCTTAAAGAATTACCCACAATTCCGGTTTTTACCGTTTAGGTCTGGCTCTAATCACTTTACGCGATCCCCTGACGTCTCATACATTGACTTTAGGAAAAACAGTCAGACTTTCGCGGTCTAGTAACCAGACTTTGACTCTTAACGAAACATTGAATGAAAAGGGAAACATCAAATGCATATTGCAAAAGATCGAATGCAAACATACCGATGAAACATCGAATTCAAATAGCTCGAAATGTCAAACATATGTGTATAAAACATTGCTCACATATTTGAGAATATCGCAAATAAAACAACACACACAATTGTATCGAAAAACATCGCACATTTAACGCAAAAAATCGAACATACTTGAAAAACATCGCACATATATATCGTCAAAAACATCGCACATATAAATTGAAAATCACATATAAATGTAAAACATCGCACACAGATATTGAACATCGCACATATATTGTAAAACATCGCACAAATATATTAAACATCGCGCAAATAATGAAAAACATCGCACACTTATATTGAACAGCGCACATAAATGTAAAAGATAACAAACACATATTGAACATCCAACATATATATTGCAAAATATTGAATATTGCAACGTTTGACACGCCATACACAAGGTACCCCAGATAGTTATGTAATAAAAAATATCGCTACCGGGTGGTGTGCTGCGGGCCAGGCGGTAACCTGCCGCCAAAACGGATCGGCGTTGCCGGCCTTCAAACGCTAGACTGCTCGCTGACGTGGGCTGGCCCGGCTGGGTAGCAGACTCGAGACAAAACCGCCACAATATCATACAAGAGCGGAAAAAGGTCCCGTCGGGCAGATACCCCGCAAACTCGGCGATGCGGGCGTGGACACTAGTTTTTAATTTTACCGTGGACGAAAATCTTGCAGGTCACACGTGCCCGGTCATGAGGCGGGCCCTGGCTTAATTAGGTGCATAGACTGCCCGGTTTTATTGGCCTGTTGTGAACTTGATATCATGGAGGAATTAAGGTTCCTTCCTCCATGCTGATATCCGGTTCGTTAGTGTGACGTCATCTCAATTCAACCATGCGTTCTTCACATGGTGTAGCACAGCACGAATGGAACCGGAATCTAATTTGATGTAAAGTTCCTACGTGAAATATGTGAACAATTTTGTAGAGGTTTGGACTTAAGTAAAATAAGAAAATATAAACAAAAAGCAAGTTTAATACATTTCCACCAATAAATACCTATTGATTTCCATGCACTATACATTTACAGCTTTCACAAAAGTGGGTACGGTTTCCAAATGTCTACATATTACACTGTTATAAATATTACTTGTAAAATACATTACAATATTCAAAAAAGGCTGTCATACAGTTTTAATTAATATATATCGACCAATATCAATCTTAAGGGTTATGAGGTCTGAATCATGAGGTGTAAGGATTCAAACCTGATGGACAACATGGTACTTGTACATGTACGTAAGATACTTTCCTACAATTGCTTCTCACCATCTAGGAGTTGAAATGGTGCCTGTACGTAGGGTAGAGAACAGATTGCACTGATCTCGAACTATTTAAAAATAGAAAGCTGATTTCATGGCCTGATGAACAGTGGTAATTAACTGTGAAGATGTTTGAGGAGATTTGCAAAAAAGCTGTATAAGGCCCCCCCCCCCCCAAAGTCTCCGGTTTCTGGTATGCGCGCGCGTCGCTGTAGCCATGCGCGTCGGCAAAATGAAAAAGTTTTTTTTTTCAATGAAAGATGATGTCTCAAAACCACCAAACTCACTGGTTTGACTGGAATCCTGCTGCTGCACATTTTCAACGTGTTTTTAGATGGAGTTATGGTCCAGAATAAGCTTTATGTGGCCTCTCTGGACTTCCAATCCCATATAGGCCTATTTGTACTAAGTTTAGTCGGGCACCATTTGCAGTCATCAGCCGACATTTGAAGCAAAAAAGTCGGGTAAAAAAAAAAAAAAGCCGCGTCGCCGCAAGGTAAGCTCCATACCAGAAACCGGAGACTTTTTTTTTTTGGCCTAATACACATGCCTCATTATTATTATTGTTATTATTATTATCACACAATTATCACACAAAAGCAAACCTACTATCCTCTCCACCAGCATGTGCCAGGAGACTAAAATTGCATTATTATATCACACAAGAGGAAAACTGACCAGGTTCATTTAGATAAATTTAGATAAAGAAAAGTTATTGACTGGAGCAAGGTTATTGACTGTCCCAAAATTATTGACTGGAGCAGGAACCGAACATTAGACCTTCGGATCGCCGTACACGACGTACAGGTGCTATACAAACTGAGCTAATTAACCAGTGATATGAGGTCTCTAAATTTATCAATTTCTTTCCTGGTTTATAGTGCTGGTTAGAAGCCATAAACGTATGTAAGTCACAAAGGTAATCGAGACACAAATCAAATTAAAGCTTATTTCATCATCTTTTATTTTATTTTCAATTTTCGGGGGACTAATCTGATGACTTTTAGAAGAAATTTCCATCCGAAGATGATCACCCCTTAAAAATAGTCCTCAAGCCCATTGCCGTTTTGAAAAACGGTGCCTACACTCCATTGCAAAATAGAGCTCAAATATGCTCAAATACTGAAGATTTTGAGGGAATGCAAATTGTGATTTGGCCGGCGTAGGCAATTTTGGGTCTATTTACTGGTCAGCAACATGGGTGTTCAATTAGATGAAGCAGACCAGTGTCAGTATTTGGGAATATTCCTCCAAAAAGACCACCGGTGGAACAAGTAAGTCCAGCATGCATCTGCCAGGGCTACAAAAATGCTGAATTTCATCAAAAGAAATTGTCATCATGCTTCATCCTCCATCAAAGAGAGGCTGTATCGTACCCTTGTCCGACCTCATCTGGACTACACCACGGCAGCATGGGACCCTCACACTTCCAAGAATCTTGAAAGTGTGAGGGTCCCATGCTGCCGGGGCGTAGCAGAACATCAAAGAACGATAAAAAGTCCAGAAGAGAGCGGCAAGGTTCGTTTCAAACACCTATGGACGCGACACTAGCATCTCTGCTATCGTGAAAGATCTTGATTGGACACCCTTGGAAGAAAGAAGAAAACAGCACTGCACTTTTTTCGTTTATCCTGAATGGACTAATGGACATTGACCATATTAAATACATCACCCCAAAAACTTGAAGATCACGACGAGGACACAATAGAAAGTTCCAACTCCACCAGGCCAGGGCCGACGCATATGCTTCTTCATTTTTCCTAAGAACACTTTAAAAATTGGAATGACCTCCCGGACTCAACAGTGGCGCTCACCAACCGGGACTCCCTTTAGAATGCTCTTTGTGACAAAACTTAATCGCGACCACTCTCACCACACCACACCTCCGGTTTAAATTCCCTAGATGGAATATTTTGACCACCAACCAGGTACCAAGTAGGACCAAGTACAAGTACCAAGTAAGGTCGTGTCCGAATTCGGGCGATTCACAATGCAGTGCGCAACCAAGAGTTTGTCACAAGAAGTTCATTTTCCCCAGTGCATTGTGGGAGATGGTCGACAAATTCGCAGCGCGGGACATTTGAAATCGTTAGTTTTACCGGTCAGTGGTTTCGTAAGCGTATGATTCGAGGTTCTGTTTGCCCATTTCTTTTTTTGTTATCAATATGGTGTTTTTGGTAAGGCGGCAGAACGCTATGCCCAAATCTATGACATATTAGCTCAAGTTGTATACCGACACTCATTCAAATGGGCCATGTTTTGTCGACCATAAACTTGAAAAATGGACTCTCCGTGGCAAACTCTTGGTGGCGCACTGCATTGTGAATCGCCCGAATTACTTGGCTACGGCTGGAAATTGCACACGGGAGTATATGGCAGCGGCTGTAGCCACTTTCCATTATTCTTATGTGTAAATTCAAACCGTAGCAAAGTCATTCGGACACGGTTTGATCAATCGACTGGAATACAAGTATGATAGAATAAATTCTTATCAGGGCTCGGATTCGAGCACGATAAGCCATAACTTATGATAATTAGATGTTTTATTCACATATTCACAAAGCCAACTCAATGTTACGGGGTGACATAAAATAAACTTTTATTTTCCCTCATAATATTCAAAAACCTAGTATTCGTAAAAAGCCGTACTGTTTTGTTTCTAGAGTTAATCGGGTATTAAGCATAAGGCTATAACAAGTGAAGGTAAAAACTGATGCTTAACTTTCTTTGTAATATAGAGAGAATATTAACTATAAGTTTAGGAATTAAAAAAGGTCGAACAAATCATTGACAAAATCGAAAGCTGTTTTTTTTAACATTAGAAACACCAGGCCCTAAGTATAAACGTCACTCTGGGCTATTTGATATCAAAAAAAAGATCCATAAGCGAAGATTGATACGTATTAAAACTGCAGAGCTTACACTAAAAATTCAAAATTGGATACTTTGAAATTGAATTTGTTAGTAATCATGCACTACTTTTTCGTATGATGTTTTATTAGGGAGCTCAAAACTCACTAATTCATTTTTTAAGCAGGTTGCCACGCCTAATTAAACGTAGGAACGCGTAACATTTTACATCAGCTGTTTCAAATAAAAGGTGAATGAATCGCAGACACGACGAAAACGGCATGAAAACACCCCGTGGTTGCGTCAGTTGCCACAGCAGAGGTTCTGAATCCGTTCCGCCACAAGAACGACAACAGCGACGCCAGAGAGTCCACCAAGAATCCAGTATGAAATATCGTAACTTCCAGTAGCGTCGTAGCTCAGGCCTGGTTTAGGAGACGGACATGAACAATAATATCAGTGAAGAAGATAATTCCCCTCATCACTCACGTGTTTTCCGATCTATAGGCTAGGGTTGATAAAGAAGTAATAACAACAATAATTACTATACTACGTAAATTGTGTGTTTCCCATGCTTATTATTCCAACCCCCCCCCCTTTAAATCTGGTGTCCCCCCCCCCTCCTCCCGGACAGATTTACCGGGCTGCGACAACTTTCAATCTATTTCACATCCAATTGAATAAAGAGACCAAGTTATTTTCATTTTGATAGCTTCATGAAGGGCAGGAAAGTTCAAAATGTAGGCCTATACCTGTGTAGTGAATTTATCAACACCACATTATGAAACGGGCCCCATGCCGGGCAAAACTAGAAGGACAACATACCTAGAGGGGACAGAATTAAAGGGCTGGGGGGGGGACGACATCATTTTAGGTAGGTAATTAGGTCCCTCGGACAGTTTTACCGGGGGACAGAATTACCATCCACACCGGTCCCGATTCATGGCAAGCGTCGTCAAGCAGCCGCAGCGATGGAGGGCGCTATCAACGAGTCGAATTAAATCCAGCACTTTTGGGAACTTTCCCAGAGAAATTCCGAAAGTACCCGACACGCAAATGGGCGCGCGTGAGTTGTTCTCGAAATTTCTCGAGTGCTAAAGTCCCCATAGCAAGACCAAATACAGATGCATGATCTGGTTGATTGCACTCTCTACTGACGAGGTGACTTGATTGTGCTTGCTAGGAACAGGAATCGGGACTGACTGCGTTAGGGCGAACAAAAAACCAACACATCTCGGAGCAAGTATAGTAAAGATCCACAAAACGTGTCATTTTTTTACCTGCCAAAGCACCACCAAGCAATTCACCGATGGCAAAGAAGACAAGTAGTGTTCCCCAACCTTGGACGCTTAGATCTTCACTCAAGACTTGCTTAGCCACCAGGATAAACAAAACTGCCATCGTGCCAAGACTTAGGCCATTCACGAAAGCCAGGCATGCCAATCCGGGGTAGTTGTCTGAAATTATAGGGTCTAGCACGAACGCAAGTGCGTTGAGGAAAGCAAGGAGGGTGGACAGCTGAACCGCCTGGATCCAGTTACGGTGCATGACGGGTCCTTGTATTATCCGTCCGAGTAAAGTCCCAACTCCACCCACTGAAGAGAGGAAACTTGCCAGTTGACTCTCGATACCTCTTGCAATTGCGTGAGGAACGAGGAAAATCATCCAAGCGCTGTACATGACGCCAACTAGAAAGCTAACAAGAGCATGGATGATAAACTTCGGTTCGTACCACAGCACGTCCAAGGCCAAGAACTCACAGAAACTCTTGAAAGCGAGTGTGCAACATCTCCTTAACTTGTTATCATTGTCCTCTATTTTCTGAAAACGAGAACATCCATTTCCCAGTGCCGTGTAGGCTGATGAGGACGGCTTTATAAGGACACCAAGAACGCAGATATGAGCGCTCAGTGCAGCAAATAACAACATGGCTCCACGCCAACCGTAGATGTCTATCAGGAATTCCGCCAGAGGAGGGCATAACATCATTCCAAATCCGGCGCCGGAGCTAATAATGCTAAAAGGCAGTGCCGGGTTATTTGGAAAATACAGAAGCATTTCCACAATTGGGGGACCATGGGACATTGCAACACCAACACCTGCATGCATCAGAAATAAGAAAAGCGCGTGCGTAAGTTGTTACCAAAAATATTTTTAAACAGAAGAAGGGAACCATTTGCCGTACGGCATAACTAATTCATCTCCGTCAGTTCGCTCGTAACCCCCGCCCTGCAAACAGGACGCTGGGATACGCTGATGAGCTTCACAAACCTCGTCCCCAGTGCTTACTTTATTTCCAGCCTCGTTTCCAATAGTAAGCCCTGGACAGGAAACTTTCTTCCTGTATCCTGATTCGATACCACAATTGGCTAGAAATGGATTTATATCGTGTACTTGGTGTTGTTATTCACAACGTGCAGTACGTATTTTCGCGATTATTCGTCCATGCCTTCTCGAAAATATTCATTTCCTTTCCAATTTGTTCATATTAATATGAAATTTGACACTGCATGTTGTCTCGTTAAGATCGTAACAGTTTAATTGAAATACAATCGTGATTTCGTTACTCACGCCATGCTTGCGCTGCGACAAATTGATTCTGTTTTTTACCTCAGATACCTAAGACAAACGCAAATGTAACGCACAGGCACCAGACTATTCCTCATTTGCAAACGTGTAAAATCTTGCACATGCAAATGATCCAATACCAGGGTGAGAGAGCAGGTAGAGCAGGTAATTATGCACTATAGTGGTGGGTGCGTACTGCTCGACACCCTGGGGACGAGGTTGGAGCTTCACAGAATCTTGTTCAGGAAGTGGCCTAGCTATGACCTATATATAAAGCATCTGGCTGCAGCTGTTCAATACAACAGTTAGACAATGTGCGCAAATGCTATCTGAAAACTTCCCATAGAAATGCGCACATTCCATACCGGATGTGATTTCTGTTTCATTGCGGACCATGTGGACAAAAGTTTGAGCGTCGCATAATGCAATCCGACCGTTCGTGATTCGAAACGGAGCCTGAGCAAGTGACGGGAATTATAAGTTTACAACACAGATAAGTTTTACAGAATTTCCTACATCATTACGCTTTTCAACGAAACCCCCCCCCCCGTCTCTAAACTGTAATAAAAGAGTAATGAATCAGTCTTAACGGCCGTTTAAAACCTTGCAGAGTCATGACCGTGATGACGCGCAGGTCACAGGTCACGCTAAATCCAACCAATCAGAGCGTGAGTATCCCAGCGTCCTGTTTGCAGGGCGGGGGTACGAGCGAACTCCGTCAGTGTTCCTCGCGTTCATATGTCATATATTTAAGACACTTTCAAGAAACATTTGGAGACCAATCGCCTCATTCCACGATTAGCCGCTTTGCTGATCGTTATATGAACGTCTACTGTTTCATCTTCGAAGTTCGAACTACTATTTTTTTTAAAACTTTTTACCACTATTAACTTTTTGTGTGTCATCCTTTGGGCCACTTTCTGTTTGTTTTGGGTCTTCTGTAATGACTAAAAGACACTTAAGCATTGTTTCGTTATTGCGTTATTGGTTTGTGTTGACAAGTATGCTTTCGTATTTTTGCATTGTACACCATTTGAAAGATCAAAATTCATAACCAGAGGAAATCGGTATAAGTTGATACTTACCCCAAAGAATCACGAACACCGAAAACTGAGCGATGTTGTATGCGAGGCAAGTTCCAAGACCGCACACAAACATAATGAAGCCCCCTCCAACGGCTAATACTTTCGTTCCGTGCTTCTTACCAAGTATGTTTACCAGTGGAACTGCACATATCAATGAACAAAAGGAAAGACAGTCTGAAATTAATTCATGGTACTTTTGTTATTTCTGAATATAAACGAATGGCTCCACGGAAGTCGCCAGAGGGAGTTTGGCATTCGCGGTGTGATCACCAGTCATAATCGTCGTTCTTGTCGGGAATGTCGGATGCTTGTCGTCCATCCAAAGCCTGTTACTATAGTCGTCAGGGCAGGTTCGGGAGAAGGATCATTAGTTGACTAGGCCTAATGGTTGAATGTGACATGACCTAATTACGCCTGCGCACTGACGGCAACGTGCGAACATCATTTCTGTTGTGCATAATGTTGTGCGCGGCTATGGTTGACAGGCATTTTTCCCCCGGTCACCTAGCAGCCAAAACACCAAGGGGCCTCGAAAGACTTTTTGCTCAACACGTAGTCCTCGTGTGCGGCGGGCTTAAGGGAGAGTATTGGCTGTGTCAGGTGCTTGTGTATTCGTTTCATTAAAGGAACACTGCCGCCAAGGAGCAAGTTGGCCCGAAATAAGATGTTGGGGGTGTACTCCGCTCCACTTTAAATGAGGAAAGTACTTTACAATTCAAATTTACTCATTAAAAAAAATCCTGTTGTTGTCTTCATAACAGGAGTCAGGAACGAGTTTTAAGTAGCAGTATGATATATAGCTTTCTCACCTACAATTCCTCAACTTGGCTAGCTTTTGTTAGATAGTCTTACCTCTTGGGAAAAAAATAATTCAGTGACTTTAAAATTTCAGACGGCTTTTTCTGTGACAAGTACGCAAGAACGAAATAAGACAATTTTTTTTAACCAGTGTTTACTGTACTGTTCGGGATTACTACTATTATGGGGTAATACCAGGCGATGCCATTTAAGTTTTTCTGTTGCCATAACGACCTTAAGGAATGTTGACAAAATAAGAAGAGAATATGCTTATTGGCTTGACTTAATTGTGCTTTGTTTTTAAGAATCATCCTTAGAAAAAAAAAATGTTCGGGATTCCCAAACTCTGCCGTACCTCTACTGAGGACTTACTCAACATGAAGGTAGTTGTGTGGGCTGCGGCCATGACGGTTCCTATTGTTGTCACTGAACACTGAAGCGATTCACGAATGGGCAGCAGGAAGACCCCAAAGCTTTTGAATGTGCCGAGTTCAATGAAAGCCATGAAGAACGCCATGGCGGTCAATACCCAACCGTAGCCACCATCTTTCTTAACCATATCCTGAAAAAGTAGTCACGGCGATATTTTAGGATCCATACACAAAGTACACAACCACACTTACCGTCCATACCTACAGTGGGCATTCCTTTGTTTTCGTGCAGACAAGAACAACCGGAGAAAAGAGTCATTTGACTTCCACTGTGAACACTATTTCAACCCAATTTATTTTAAGTACGATTTCCTTGATGAGTGTTCCTGTTCATTTTGCGACAGATAAACCTAACCCCAAAATGCCTCTCAATCTGTTTTCCAGAGAAGCGGAAACCTACCGTGGACGGGTGCAAGTCCACAAAACGTTCACCTTTTCTGTACCCTGTGGACCTCTTTTGTTTGATTATGTCTCGATAGTCCGAAGTACCATTGATCCAAAGTCCAATTGGTCCTACGTCCCATTGGTCCGACGTCCCATTGGTCCAATGAAACAAAATACTGTAGTTCCACTGGTTAAGGTTGACTGACCCTAACCCCCTAACCCTATAACCCTAACCCTAACCCTAATCCCATGGGACGTCGGACCAATGGGACGTCGGACCAATGGGACGTCGGACCAATGGTACTTCGGACCAAAGGGACGTACGTCGGACCAATGGGACGTGGGACGTTTATACTAATGGAACGTATAGAGCAATGAGCCGTCGGACCAATGGGACGTCGGACCAATGGGACGTTTATACTAATGGAACGTACAGAGTAATGAGCTTTTCATGTCTTCTCAACATGTTTGCAATGACTGACCTTCATTGAGATTATGATAAACAAAGTGATGCAGAGATGAAACTGGCATATGGCAAAAAAATCGGAAAATAAGCTGAACAAAAATACGTGTTCGAAATCTGGGCTGCGCTGCAGTTACACACATGTACATGCATGTACAATACACTTCATGCCCAATTTCCGGACGCCAACTCCTGCTTTATTTTCGATTCAAACAAAATGTTACGATGAAAAAAAAATGCTCATTGTTTTCATTGCATAAAATGCCGAATTACGGTTAGGGTAATGGAGTCATCAATAAAGAAGTTCAGTTCTTACTTGAAAAAGTCGAGGGAAAAGTCCGAAAGACAAGGGCACCGTTCATGGGGCTTCAATCATGTCCATGATTCAACCATACACGTGGGGAAAAATCAAGCATTATCGTCTTTCTCTTCCAACAAATGCCAGTGAAATGTTTCGCTAATGCTCTCTTCGCTATCCTCGAGATAATCATAACGATTTTAAAGCATTGAATTTTGTACAACTAAATCTGTAACCTCCGAAAATCACACAACATGGGCCTAATGATTTTATCCACTGGATCGTTCACAAGAGGCTACCCGTTCCCGACCGGCCATATGCTAGCGGACGGTACGGTCATGACGGTGCGGTACGTACACCGGTACCAAACTACCACTGCATATATTCTCACGCACGTGCGACACAGTGACTTTGCCATGTCGCCTGTCAATGTTTAAAAGTCCAGCCGGAGAAGGCTCCGATCAGTGTTATGCCCTATGTTTCTACCGTTGAAACACTCCAATAACGACTGGCGAAAGAGATTAAAACTACGTTCGCGATGATTTTAACGTGCCATTTCCATCGACTTTTCATCGACTTTTCTTTGAAATTATGATTGAAATGAAATGACATTTTGTGAAAAAAATCGTTACAAAAGCAAATTTTGTGGGACACACTGTAAAAAAATCGGAAATTTCGTTGGAAAATTCAAAAAGTCGGATTTCCAATTAAAATCGGAAAAATGTCATCTCTGATGTGATGGCGTCAGGATGCAACATTCTTCCCGAGCACATGTATGCTGTTAATCGAGGACATCCCTCTTCTTGTTTAAACGTTTTCCAGTACTTTTCATTGGTTTTGTATACCTCTTTTAATCGAAGATTAACACTATTAACATGGACTTTTAATACAGATCTTTACATTTTCTTTATCAGCCTATAGGGCCAACCCGTAAATAGGCTCCCGTCTTGCAATGGAAAAAATATTCATGAAAACACCACATGCTCATAATTAATCTGAGAAAATAATTAACCCCATAATTGTCACTACGGTCTTCAAGCTCGAATTAGCATCATTCGCTACATGTACATACATGTATCTGGTCCAATAAACAGCATATCCAATTTTTGCGCTTTTTATTGCATGCAGGGTATAATTATTGCAAAGCTGCGTTCCGTTATTTACCACAGGCAGAAATAACCAGTTTACACTTGAAAAGAAGTCAATCCCAGTGATGTGAACGCGGGCAAATGAGCCCAAAAGAAATTTAAACAAGAACATGACGATGATGTGGATGATTGTAAGCCCACTTACTTCTTTACCCCTTGACTGCATCCTACGGCGATGAACTGGTCTCTATTAGCTATATGGTGGAGCACAATAAAAACGCCTCTTTCAGCAAACTTACACCATGTGGAACACTGTAAGAGACAACGGAAAAACAAACTGGTGATAGTGTTTATTCTGTATGCCCGTATAATTATGCTTTGCATAGAACTATTGTTATTGCACCATATTGATACCTCCGCCGACGGAGAATCTTACCCCCGCCGAGGAGGTTAATGTTGGTGGTTTGCCTGTGAACAGGATAACTCAAACAGTTGTGGGCAGATTTTCATGAAAATTTGTGTAGGGGTGGTCCTTGGTACAAGTACGGACCCATTAGATTTTGGACGTGTTCCGGATGCAGGATTTTTTTAACAATTACAAATTTGTATGTGCAAATATGCCATAGGCCATGAAGTTCGGGTACCCCTCCCCCACCCCCACAAAAACTAATGGACCCGTCCATTTCTAGGCCATATCATGGTGGTCTGGTTCCCAGAACAAACGATTCCGACTATTCCTGATGAATCTTAGGTCAGACAGCCTCCGTGGCTAAAAATAAACATGACGACATTGATGGCCATTTTTCAAAGCTCGGCTTTGTTTCCGATTTCGCTTTTAGCTTTTATTAATGTTCTGATCTTTTCTTTCTTTTTTAAAATAAATCACTTGCCTCGTAATATCATACAGTTATGATAATACAGTTTGATGTTTCTGTAAGATAACATTGACTAATGTTGATCTGGAATCTTTAAAATTAGGCACCCAAATAGCACTGTTAGCAGGCGGAGCCGAATGAAGACCCAGTTTTGGAAAATCTCGGTAACGGTCGTCAAATTCAAAATTGTTCGCCCATACGATTCGAGTATATTTGATGCACAAAATCGTCGCTGAATTTCAAGTTTTCTAAATGAAAGCAATGAATAGTAATTATCAACTCATTTTTAAAAAAATTAATAAGCAATTAGCAGTTAATTCAACCTATATTATACTCGGAAATACTCGGGCGCTATCCGAGTGTCGACGAAACGAATTCGGCAAACTTCGGAAATTTTCGGGAAAAGGAGGAATTTCTCCCGTTTTAGTCACGTGACGTAAATTGTAATACAATGTATTACCGGAGGCTACTGGACCTAAGATTCATCAGGAATAGTCAGAATCTTTTGGTCTGGGAACCAGACCAATATCGTGGCACATAATATGTTGAACTACAATGCCACAATATGCTTGACCCGTTGACCTCTGCATTAGCTCACGCTCAGTTAAAGTTAAAGAGGCAGTCGCTACATATGCATTATAAAAGTTCTACGTGTTGCATGCACTAACAATATGGCCGGGAATTGTTTAGCCTTTTTTGGCGGAGGTTGCGCTCTCCGAGTGCTTTCTAGTTATAATATTATTGTTAGTTTATTTGATATTGAACTTGTAGCCAAAGGCTATAAATTAAGTCAATTTTTACAATGCAAAAACTGTTACACATTAAAAGACAGGATAAAATAACATAATACAAGGTTAAAAAACCTTTACCAATAAAATATGTAAAAACCACTACGAGTAACTTAAATCGATGTAATAAATAAAAACTACAACACAACAAGTACAACAACAATTCACATATAAAACATTAAAACGTAGACATGCAAATCACAGCTCAAAGAAAAATGGGGCGGAGGCTCCTAACTAAATCATACAATTAAGGGACTAACGAAATGTTTTTCAATCGGCGTCGCCAGAATGTAGAGTACGTCAGAAACGGTATAAAACAGTAAATTGCCACACATAAGTATGCATTGCCAGTTTTCTGTTGCCGGATTCGCTCCAAATTCGGTGGCTGTAATCGTATATTCACTGCTAGAATTACATATAGTCAGGGCAAAATTCGCCGCCGATCCGGACGTTAACAAATGGGATTGTTCAACATTTTCTCCACATAAATTATGCGGATTTTCAGCGACCTGTTAAATATGGCAAGCAAACAATACCAAACACTAATTATGCGTTAAATTAAATATACAGTATTGACTTCGATATGTATTGTGTTCTCTTTCTCTCTTTTACCAAAGACTGTCTGCCAAGCGACACTGCAGCTACGAATATCCGTGGGAAGTTATTCCCAGTTACTAGCATTTAAAAATATCACACTGGTGAAAAAAAGGACAAAATATGCTTTCATCTACCATTAAAAATGTCTACTTCTAGATGTATTTTTATAAGCTCTGGCAGGAGGTTCTATACATGTCACTTGGTGGTCGGTAGCTAGGTCTGTCGGTCGGTCGGTAGGTTTGTCTGTCAGTCTGTCCCCGAAAATTGACCATAAATATTTGACCAAAACTTGGCCAAATGCCATGCCGTCGTCAGTAAATGCACTTTTGATGAAAGTTTTCGGAACACCGGCTTTGTCTCGATCGATGCGCATGCGCGTCTATTTTATACATATGTCTGTCCCCCGGAAAATTGAACAAAAACGAGCCATCTAAGATTTCCATAAAATATAACTACCACATTTTTAAAAATAAAAGCAAACAAAATACATTAAATACTAAAAACAATATTGTAGGTAACAATTCGGTAAGTTGTTTATGAAACTTTTGTAAATGGAGGCAAGATATGTGCAGTAATGTGGTATTGGGCGCTATATACAACGCAAAATAGCATGCTATAATTTATTTGAAACTTAA